GCTAACGCGAGAGCAGCATTCTGAAGACGAGCCGCCCTCCATCGGTAAAATTATTGCAACCGTCAAGCTCCAGGAACAGAAAGCGTGCCACCCTGCCCACACGTCTGTGGGTCTGACTGGGGGAGTTATTGATAATGTACAGAGATCGAGGAGGACGGGGAGGAGGAGGAGGAGGAGGAGGAGGAAGGAGGAGGAAGAGGAGGACGAGGAGGAATGAGGGGGAGGAAGAGGAGGAGGAAGTGGAGGAGGAACAGGAGGAGGAGGAAGAGGAGGAGAAGGAAGAGGTGGCGAGGGGGAGGAGGAGGAGCTTGCGATCACAAGCCCGGGCGGAGGGTTGGGCGGCTCCGAGGGGAGGCGACGGCAGTGGCGTGGCCTGCGACACGCGGCTCATTAGCCAGGACAACGCTGCGCGTGCCCGGCGGGGCTGGGGGCCTTCCCTCTCTGCTTCCTCTTGGACCGAGGAGGAGGAGGAGGAGGAGGAAGATGAGGAGAAGCAGGAGGAGGAGGAGAAGGGGGGGCAGGAGGGGAAATGGCAAATGAGTATGATGACGCTGGACGATGCTGCAGCTGATGATGATGCGGATGCTGATGACGATGGTGCTCATGCAGCTGATGCTGGTGATTGTGATCGCTACGGTGAGTATGATGGCGCTGGTGAGTACAATGATGATGAGCTCAGGGTGGTAACCAGGCTGAACATGACGAGTGATGATACCATGTTGTTCACAGTGATGAGAAACAGCAGCGACAATATAGGCCTGATAAGGTGATATGAGGGGGGGAAAGGCCGGATGTCAGATGTCGCCGCGCCATTTGTTCCGACGCGCGGCCTTGCGTCTTGGGGAGGGCGCCGCGGCCACCAGGGCAAACTCCGCGTCGGGCGCGGCGGGTTTGCCGTGGTGTTTGCCGCGATGCTGGCTTCGTCTGCTGGGGCGCGTGGCGCAAGGTTTGCCGTGGGTTTGCCGTAGTGTCGGCGTCGTCCACTTGGGCGCGTTCAGAGCACTCGGCGCAGCGACATATGATGATGAGGGAGGAGGGACGGTGAGGGATGTTGTTGATGATGATGATGATGATGATGATGATGGTGATGATGATGATGATGATTGTGATGATGAAGATGATGATGATGATGATGATGATGATGATGATGATGATGATGATGATGATGATGATGATGATGATGATGATGATGATGATGATGATGATGATGATGATGATGATGATGATGATGCTGTTGACGATAATGTTGATGCGAATGCTGATGTTGATAATAAGGATTATTATGATTCTGGTTATGGTAACGATTATGACGACGGCGCTGATGAAGGAGAACACGTGACGAGGACAAGAGATGAGGAGGAGGTGACAGGGGACGGAGGAGGGGAAATGGGAAGGATGAGCACGAGGAGGAGAACGAGGAGGGGTAGGAGGAGGAACGATTTGGTGGTGGAGCTGGGGCTGCTGCAGGCCACCCGCGCACTCCTCGAGCTCCTGGAGACGGGGGCGCGCGCCTGGGACGGGGCGCCAGAGCCGGTGCTCACGGCGATGGCAGCGGCACACGCGGCCGTCGCCGTCGCGGAGCCAGCCCTCGAGCCACCCGACCTGGACGCCGCGCTTGGGGGCGGCACGGGCCCCCGGCAGCTCTGGTCCGACGCGGCGGACTGTCGCGGAGGCCGCCGCCTGCCAGGACGGCGAGACGCCCGCGGACGAGCTCATGGACGAGCTGGACCGAACAGAGACGGAAGACGACGCCAGGCTCCCACTGGTCGCCCGCCGCCTGCGCGGAGCCCGCCAGGAGGCGCCCGCGGCCTCCGCGCCGGCGCCTGGCCCAGCGCGGCTCGCCGCCGCAGCCGCAGCTGGGTGGAGGGCAGCTGAGGCGGCTCTGCGGCTGCGCCGGCGTGCGGGTCGGCGAGGCCAGCCACCGTGGGCCGGCAACGGGGGGGGCGCTGAGCTGCCCAGGTTGTCATGGGCCGCTGCACGCAGTGCATGCGCGGAGAGGCCTGCGCCGCCTGCGGGGGAGGGGCCGGGGCCAGGGGGGGGGGGGGGGCTCCACATCTGCGAGGCTTGCGAGCGCCTGGTCTGCCCGGGCTGCGCCGCTGCCGCCGCGGCCGCGGAGAGCGCCGCTGCGGCCGCCGCCGAGACGCTGCCCGCCAGTGACGCTGCGGCCGCGGCCAGGGCCGCGCCTGCTGCCGCCGGCGCTGCGCCCGCCGACGCCGGCCCCGCGACGCCGGCTGCTGCATGGCCCCTAGCGGCCCGCAGGCGCTGCCCCCGCCGGGAGACGCGCCCGCGGCCGACGCCTACGCCTCCCCTGCTGCTCTCGCCCTCCGTGACCTCACGGCCCCTTGCTGGGCGGGGCTCGACGGCATCGACCTCCTGGACGAGTTCGCGCTGGACTGCGTCGCGCTGCGTGTCGTCCCCGGGCGAGCCCGGGCGGCGGCCGCGCAGGCCACCGAGGAGCTCTGCAATGCGATTTTCCGTGCTCGAGCTGGGAGCGTGGAGGAGGAGCTGGCCGCAAACTCCTCGCGCTACGCGAGCCTCTGCTTTTCGCTGCCCCCCTCCGGCACGGCTCGAGCGGCCGGCCGCGCGCGGCTGCAGAGACCTTAGGTCCGCGCGCTGCTCGTGCGCGAGCGGTGCTCCTCGCTGCTCTGGGGCGGCTGGGGAGCGCTCCTGACGACGGCCAAGGACGCCGCGCGGGGCCTGGCCAACGGCGCGCCCCCAGCCGGGCCGCCGCCGCGCACTCAAGAGGAGTCCCTCGGGCAGCGGGGCAGCCGCCGGCGGCGGGCGGTTCGAGCACTGGCGGGCCGTGCTCGCCGAGCCAAACGAGGTGGCCGCGGTCCGCGGAGTCTGCGACAGTGTGGCAGAGGGGCGAGTCCCCGAGAGCGCCACCGCGGCAATGGCGCAAGCGAAACTCACGCCGCTGCGGGAGCCAGGCGGCGGGGTCTGGCCCATTGCTGCGCCGAACATCTTGCGGCGGCTGGCGGGGCCAGGTGCTGGTGGCGCCCCGCAATCACGCACTGGCTGAGGCCCTGGGGAGGCAGCAGTTTGCTGTGGGCGCGGCTGCAGGCACGGAGCTCCTGGCGCAAACGGCGCGGATTGGTAGAGGCCAACCCCGAGTTGGTGGCGGTCGCGCTGGTCGCCAGGAGCGCGTGCTGCTCCGCTGACCGGGAGGCTTGCTTGCGGGGGCTGGAGGAAGCGGTGCAGGCGCTGCTGCCCTACGCCAGCACCTTCTGCCGCCGCGAGTGTTTTTTTTACTTTTGGGACGCGGCCTGGGTGTGCCGCCGCCTGCTCTCCGCTGGCGGGGTGGACCATGGGTGCCCGGTGGCGCCGCTGCTCTTTGCCTGCGAGGCGCGGCCCCGCCTGCGCGCGCTGGGCGGGCGGCCGCGGAGCAGCGGGGGCTGGTGCCAGGCGACGCGCGCGTCTTCGCCTATCTCCACGACGTCGTCGTTCTGGCGCCGGCGGCGCTCGCGGACGAAGCGCTGGCGGCGGCGCAGACGGCCTTGGCGGGCCTGGGCGTGGAGTTGGGGCCGCGGAAAACGCAGGCCTGGTCGGGCGAGAGTGGCCACGCCGCCACAGTGCAACGCGCCGCCAGCCACCGCCAATCCACTTGCAGGCCCCCGCCGGGAAAGCCACCGCCACGGAAGGCTCAAACCTCCCCCGCGCTCGGTGGAGCCCCCCAGGCGGCCCCCAGCCCCACGTTTTTGGAACATTTCGTCTGCTCTGCAGGTGAGGGTTCCCGTCGTTGGACAAGGGGGCGCCTGTGGGGAGGGGTTCCTATGAGGATGGGGGAGAGGCTTTTGCGCTTTGCACCGTGGCGAGTATGCCCCCCCCCCCGCTTTGCCGCCACGTAGCCATCTTCTGCCGCCGCTTTCCGCAACGCCTCCGCCGCCGCCGCATTTCCCTCCATCTCTTTTCCCTGTCTGAGGCCATGATCTGTCATGTTTCCTTTCCTCTCTCCGTGTTCTTTCTACAGTTTAACCCACCAGCGGGTAACGCAAGTCACTTGGCTCATTAGTTTGATCCTCTCCAGGGCCGACCGGCCTTTGAGGGGGGCCGCGTCTGACCGACCTTTTTGTTTTCAGGTTTTCATTCTTCCACGGGGAGGAGCATGGGGGCGGAGTAAAAGGGCGCAGGGGGAGCAGGAGGACCGATGGGACCGATGGGGGGAATGGGGGGAGGAGGATGTTGAATGAATCAATAAGAGGAGAGACGATGATGATGCTAATGATGATGCTGCTAGCGATTATGATGATGATGCGGCTGATGATGATGATGCTGATGCTGATGATGATAATGATGGTGATGATGATGATGCTGATGATGATGATGATGATGGTAGTGTTCATGCTGACGGTGATGCTGGTGATGATGATGAGCATGCTGGTGATGTTGATGATGGTGATGTTGATGATGGTGATGGTGATGATGGTGGTGGTCTTGATGATGACACAGCTGCTGCTGATGCTGATGATCACGATGATGCGAACAGTGGTCATGATGGTGACGATGGTGATGATTGTGATATAGACGATCGGGATGATTATGGTGATGATGTTGATGAGTAGGAAAAGCAGGAACACTGGGAGGAGGAGGAGGAGGAGGAAGAGGAGGAAGAGGAGGAGGAGGAGGAGAAGGATGAGGAAGAGGAGATGGAAGAAGAGGAGGGGGAGGAAGCGGAGGAGGAGGAGGAGGAGGAACAAGCATAATATGCATATTAGCAAACATTGTGCGAATACGTATACTAGTAATGGTACGGGTAAAAATAAGAACAATAATAGTACTACGGATAATACTACGAAGCACAAGGATATTATGAATACGAAGAGTACTAATACTAATCATACCAATAACAGTGATACTAAGACTAATGATGCTAATACTCATAAGACCAATACGAATACTTAGACTAATAATTGGGATTCGAATACACATACGAATTATGATTTAACTATGATAAGGCTACTTATACTACTAAGATGAATCATGTCTCCTCAATCGGAGCTTGCCTCTGTAGGGGTACTAGCGGATTCGCATGGTTAGGTGAGGAGGGTTGCCGATTTCGGCGGCACGCCCGGGTGCCCAGGTGCTTGGGTGCCCAGTAGCCCTATAGTCCTATAGCCCTACAGCCTTATGGCCTTGTAGCCCTGTAGCCCTATAGCCTTATAGCCCTATAGCCCTACAGCCCAATAGCCCTAATAGCCCTATAGCCCTATAGCCCTATAGGCCTATAGCCCTACAGCCCTATAGCCCTGTAGCCCTATAGCTCTGTAGCCGTATAGCCTTGTACCCCAATAGCCTTATAGCCCTATAGCCCTATAGCCCTATAGCGTTACAGCCCGATAGCCCTTTCGCCCTATAGCCCTGTAGCCCTATAGCCCCAGAGCCTTATAGCCCTATAGCCCTAACACTATCATCATCACGGCACTAAGAACAATCACTATACGACTGATACGACTAAGACTCAAAGAGTAAAGGTACTTCTAACAAGGATAAGCATCATAATATTGATAAGCAACCAATCATAATACCAATAATAACACCACTAACAATATAATACGACCGATAGTAAGACTAATACGAAGCATACTAAGAATACGAATGCTACGAATAATACGAATCATAACATGAAGACGAGGCAGAGGAGGAGGAAGAGGAGGAGGAGGAGGAGGAGGAGGAGGAGGAGGAGGCGGAGGACGGACGAGGAGGAGGAGGAAGAGGAGGAGGAGGAGGAGGAGGAGGAGGAGGAGGAGGAGGAGGATGCGGAGGCAGAGGCGGAGGCGGAGGATGAGGAGGAGGAGACGAGGAGGAGGAGACGAGGAGGAGGAGGAGGAGGAATGAGGATGAGGAGGATGAGGAGGAGGAGGAGGAGGAGGATGAGGAGGAGGAGGACAAAGAGGAGGGGGAGGGGGAGGGGGAGGGGGACAAGCTGGGTGCGCTCGCGTCATATCTGACATCCTACCCCTCCCTCCCATCCCTTACCATGGCGTAGATCCCCTCTCTACTTGCACAGTCGGATGTCGAGCAGGGCAATGATCCCGAATGGGTACGCGATGCATTGTAGAGCACGGCATGGCATGGCGTAGAAGAGCACCGCAAAGCGTAGTATGTCACAGCATGGCGTGGCGTGGCGTAGTGAAGAATTGCATCACAAAGCTTTGCAACGCAAAGCATGGCATCGCACAGCGGCCCCGAACATAACATTGCATAGCATGGCGTTGAAGATCAAAGCGTAGCATGGCATAGCACGACGTGGCACTTAAGCACTGCATATCACAGCTTCAGCTGAAGGCATGGCATCGCGCAGCGGAACGCAACCTAGCATTGCATTGCATGCCGTGGCATGGCACGGGAAATGATGCCAGCGCTGCAGCGGGAGCACGATTCGGAACGAGCGGAAGCGCGGAAATGAGGCCAGCGCTGCAGCGGGAGCACGATTCGGAACGAGCGGAAGCACGGAAATGAGGCCAGCGCTGCAGCGGGAGCACGATTCGGAACGAGCGGGGCCCGAAAATGAGCCGGCGCCTCAGCGAGAGCAGCATTTTGAAAAACATGCTGGCGAACACCCAACTCCGGGGAATCTTGTGTAAAAAAACAGTACGCGGGGGGGGGGGGGGGGGCGAACACTCCCAACCCGTCATCAGGGGAAGGATGAGAGTAGTACTCATATTGAGTAATTGTTGAGGATGAGGAGGGGGAGGAGAAGCGGGAGGGAGGAGGGGAGGAGGAGGAGGAGGAGGCGGAGGCGGAGGCGGAGGAGGAGGAGGAGGAGGAGGAGGAGGGAGGCGGAGGAGGAGGAGGAGAGGAGGAGGAGAGGAGGAGGAGGGGAGCAGGAGGGGGAGGAGGAGGAGGAGAGGAGGAGAGGAGGAGGAGGAGGAGGAGGAGGAGGAGGAAGGAGAAGGAGGAGGAGGAGGAGGCGGAGGAGGAGGAGGAGGAGGAGGGGGGTGGATGACGAGGAGGAGGAGGAGGCGCAGGAGGAGGATGAGGAGGAGGAGGCGGAGGCGGAGGAGGAAGCAGCAGCAGCAGCAGCAGCAACAGCAGCAGCAGCAGCAGCATAGTAGGGAAACGAATAATAGTAGAACTACGAATTAAGCAGAATAAGCATACTACTGAGACGAGGAATAATAACAAGATAAATGATACGAAGGACAATCATAAGACTAATAATAATACTAATATTGTTCAACACAATAAAGATAGCACAATTCATACTAGTAATAAAAGCACAATAAAAGGATGATGACAAGGAGTAACGGTGATGGGTAGGCATGATAATGATGAGACAGAGTAGGAGGAGGAAGAGGAGGATGAGGAGGAGGACGAGCAGGAGGAGGAGGTCGAGGAGTAGGAGGAGGACGAGGATCCATGAGGAGACTCACCAGGATGAGGCGGAGGAGGAGGACGAGGACGAGGACGAGGAGGAGGAGCAGGAGGAGGAGGAGCAGGAGGAGGAGGAGGAGAAGAAGGGGAGGCGGAGGAGGACGAGGAGGAGTTCGAGGAGGAGGAGGAGGAGGAGGATTATTACTATTATTATTATTATTATTTTTATTATTATTATTACTATTATTAACAACAGCATGAATCGTATGAATAGCAATAAGAGGAAAACGAACCGAACTAATTGTACTAATAGCAGTAATATGAAGACGAATGCGGATACGATTCGTAATCCTAATGACGCTTCAACTAGACATGAACATATTAATAACAAACAGACGAACACTATTGCTAAGACTAGTCATGACAACCATATCGACTCTCATATCTTATGATATGAACAATCCTAACAACATCAATAAGACGAATCCGACACATTATAGGAATATCAGGAAAATAAATCTAGCACGAGAAATATTTGGAATCGTACCAGTGAAAATGATTTTATCTATCACAGTACTACTCAGTCTAATACTTAAAATATTCGTACAAATGCGAATTATAAGAAAGAGCGTGTTCTACCGCTGCTGGCGGAAAACCGGGGGGGGTCACTACCGGTTCGAACCCCTCCCCCCCCCCGGAAAACCGGGGGGGGGTCACTACCGGTTCGAACCCCTCCCCCCCCCGAGTTCATCATGAAAAGGGGGGGGGGTCACTACCGGTTCGAACCCCCCGCCCCCCCCCTCGACGAAACCGGGGGGGGTCTCTACCGGTTCGAACCCCCCCCTCCTCGAAAACCGAGGGGGGGTGCGGACAGTGATGGGGACAGTGGTGATGGGGACAGTGGTGAGGGGACAGCGGGACATTGGTGGGGACAGTGGGACAGTGGTGGGGACGGTAGTGGTGGGACAGTGGTGAGGACAATAGTGGGAACAGTGGGGACAGTGGACAGTGGTGGGGACGGTGGTGGTGGGGACAGTGGTGTGGGGACAGTGGGAATGAGGTGGAAACAGTGGGACAGTGGAGGGTACAGTGGTGGTGGGGACAGTGGTGAAGGCGGTGGCGAGGACGGCGGTGGGACAATGGGACAGAGGTACAGTGGGGACAGTGGTGGGGACAGTGGGGACAGTGGTGGGAACAGTGGGACAGCTCAGTGGGACAGCGGAGGAGTCAGTGGGACAGTGGGGACAGTGGGGATAGTCGGGCAGTGGTTGGGGCCGTGGAGAAAGTGGGGAGAGTGGAACCGTGGTGGGAACAGTGGTGGGGACAGTGGGGACAGTGCGACAGTGGTGGGGGCACTGGTGGGGACAGTAGGGACGGTGGTGGAACCAGTGGGGACAGTGGTGGTGAGGACAGTGGTGCTGGGAACAACAGTGGGGGATGTGGTGCGGACGGTGGTAGGGACCGGGAGTCGTTTGCTGGCGGTGAGTGGGGGGGGTGGGGAGGGGTTCGAACCGGTAGTGACGGCCCCTCCGGTTTTTCGAGGGGGGGGGGTTCGAACCGGTAGTGACCCCCCTCGGTTTTCGAGGAGGAGGGGGGGGGGGAGGGGTTAGGGGACGGGGGGGGGTGCCGGGGGAAGGAAGGGGGGGGGGTCCAGCAGGGGGGGGGGAGAGGGGGGGGGGAATTTCGGTCGGAGGGAGGGGGGGGGTGACCCCCGGGTTCTGGAGGAAGAGGGCAGCAATTTTCCACAGTAAAGCGGCGGTGGATCACGCTCTCTCAATTATAACCATCCTATTGGTAATCCGACTAGTGATACCAATGGGAATACGACTGATTATGATTACATAATCACAATAAGAAGAATGGCACTACGAAGAATACTAAGAATAACAATGCGAATTATAATAACAATAATCAGCAACATAGTAATACGACGAAGAAGAAGAGAAGGAGGAGGACCAGGAGGAGGATTAACGAGGATTGGGTAGCAAGAGGTGTCAGCTGTAGGTCTCCGAAATTCCGGAAGGCCTTCGGAGGAACAGTGGCCCCGACACGGTCAAGATCTTCGATTCCGGGAGGCCGGAGGGGCTGGGAGACGGGAAGGGGCTGGGAGGAGCATCCACGACAAGCACCAGCTCGACACCGTCGGCATGCTCCTCCGAGGAGGCCCCGTCTGCGCGGCTCTGGAGCGGTGACTGCGGACGCCATTGGGCGAGGGGGGAAGGGGATACCCAGGATGATGATGAGGAGGATGAGTAGAGTGATCGGAGTAAGCCCAAGATGCAGCAATGATGCTGAAATGCGCCCTCTCGTCCCGCGTCCTCTCCTCCGAAATCCCCTCAAGTATTCCGTTCCACCTCGGGAAGCGCCCCCCGTCATGACGAACGAATTCCCGTTGTGCCTGCCACTCAGGCGAGCGCCCTATTTGTTAAATGATTCACACTCCATCCTCCCGGCTAAACGAAGGGCAGTGAGGTAGGATAGTGCAGCTCGAGGACACGGATCAGCCCTCCCTCCGTGCAAGCGCTGCAAGGTGCAGAGTTTTGGCCGTCTGATCCGAGGAAGTCTGAAGGAGCAGGGGGAGGAGGAGGAGGAGGAGGATGAGAAGGAGGAGGAGGGGGAGGAGGAGGAGGAGGAGGAGGAGGAGGAGGAGGAGGAGGAGGAGGAGGAGGAGGAGGAGGAGGAGGAGGAGGAGGTGCACATGCAAGCGAGAGCCCCCGGTTCGACACGGAACCGCCCTCCGTCCGTGCACCAGGCACCAGCGCCGGCCACGCTTCCGGCTCCGGCTCCCTTCCCGTGGCCCCCCTTTTCTCTTCATCCACCTTCCCCTGATGTTGATCCTCCTGTGCTCCACTCGCCCTTCGTGCTCCTGCTGCTCGTCCTCCTCCGGGCCTCCGCCTCCTTCCGGATCCTCCCGTCAGCCGCCTCACAACCACGTGTTTTCTGCTGCTGTTGCGGCTGCTGCTGCTGCTGCTGCTGCTGCTCCTCCTCCTCCTCCTCCTCCTCCTCCTAAATACAAAAAAACTTCTACGTCCGACTGCGGAGAAAAACGATTGGCCAAGTGCCGCGGCTACCATTTCGGCAGGGAAGATTCTCCAGAACACCACGGCCGGCGGGTGGAAGGGGATCGAACGCCATGGGAGCGGACGGGTTGGAGGCGTAGGATGTCAGATGTGGCACGAGCGCGCCTCCTTTGCCCTCCCATCCTCTCCACTGTCCACTTCGACCTCCTCTACGCTCCCATTCTGCCCCCCCCTACCCTCTCCCCTCCCCGAAAGCATGCTCTGCGACAAGATCGCGCCCCATACGAACGAATCACCTTCCCCACATCGACCCTCCGAACTTCCGTCCCTCAACGCTCCGCCCTCCCCCCCTGTCAGGAGGGAACAAAAACACACAGACACAATGAAGCGTCGACTCCCAGAGAATATGGGAAGATCTGGGAAGTGGGGGGGGAGACAAAAACCCAGAAAATATGGGAACATACGGGGAATCCTGGTATCTGTGTGTGTGTGTTTATTTGCTTGTCCCAGGGCCCCTCCGCCCTCGGCTGCCCCGGAGGCCCCCTGCAGAACACCACGACGATTGCCCTGCCGCAGGGCGCCCGGGTGGACGCCGCCGCTGGCACCCCCGGGGGGGGCGCGGGCCGGCCTGCCCGTGCTGCTGCCTCGCTGCCTTGGCCTGTGGCAGGCCTGGCCCGCCCAGCTGGCGCGAGGGCTTCCCGGTCGGCCTGGCCGGCGACGGCCACGTGCCGCTCCTCCTCCTCCTCCTCCTTCACCTCCTCCCCCTCCTCCTCCTCCTCCTCCTCCTCCTCCTCCTCCTCCTCCTCCTCCTCCTCCTCCTCCTCTCCTCCTCCTCTCTCCTCCTCCTCCTCCTCCTCCTCCTCCTCCTCCTCCCCCTCCCCCTCCCCCTCCCCCTCCCTCTCACCATCCTCCATCCCCCGACGGCCTCCCTCCTTCAGGGGCAACGATAGGGGGGGAATGGGCGTAGGGGGGGATGCATCGACCCCCAACCGCCCATTGATCGCCGATAGGTGTCCGACAGCCCCAACCTCGCCAGGAACGTGCGGCTTCACTATCGGAGGCCTATCTCCGACGTATCGGCGATGTATCGCCGATTCCAGGTCGATGTTCCCCCCCCTATCCCCCCTATCGTTGCCCCTTCCTCCTGCCTCGTTCGGGCGGGGGCAAGGACGAGACGAGGGCAAAGCCGTTCCAGAGCGTTCCAGAGCGCTCGCAGAGCGCTCCAGAGCGTTCCGAGAAGGCCGCGGCGCCCGAGGCATCCTCCAGGGCCGTGGGGTTCGAGAGATTCTCGATTTGTCCTCGTCCGATTTGTCCTCGTCCTGGCTTCGTCTCACTGTCTCACTCTTCTCTCTTGGACTCCTGCCTCCTGCCTCCTCTTGCCCTCCTCCCTCCTGCCTCGCCCCCTCCTCCCCTTCTGCATCACGCCAGCTGCTTTCTCCCTCCTCCCTTCTGACTGTTCCCTCCTCCCTCCTCTCCTGCTACTGCTGCGGGTCTTTCTCCTCCTCCTCAGACCTCGAGCGTCGCGAAAGAGAAGCCCATAGCGCCCACAGACGAAGGCAGGAGTGAGCCCCCCCCGACCGGAATGCATCAAGTCAGATTTTCCAGCAACATCATGTTTGCCAGCTTCCTACCCAAACAGTGGGTTCGTGCGCTCTCGATCTGCTTTTTTTGTGGTGTCACATATATTTACATTATGTATGTAGGTATGTGTATATATATATATATATATATGTATAGGTGGTCAAAGCTGCGTGGTGCAACCCTTATGGTGAGGTGCAACACATCTTGAACATGTTGAAGTTGACAACTCATTGTCCAGAGCAAGCATTCATCCTCAATCCTCCTCAAGGCGCTCACAGAGGCCTCCCAACAGTGCCACGAGAGACAACATTCATAGCTCTTCCTGAAGTATTTATTTCGGGATGTTAGCACTTTCGTATTTTCAGCGCACTGACTTGCCAAGGCGGTCCAAGAAGCCCCGACTATGGGTCCAATAATGCTCCAGAGGCCCCCCAGAGACCCCCAGAGGCCCCCGAGGCAGCCATTCCGGCTCGAGGAGGAGGAGGAGGAGGAGGAGGAGGAGGAGGAGGAGGAGGAGGAGAAAGAGGAGGAAGAGGATGGGAACAATGAGGATAGTGAGGATGATGAGGAAGCGGAAGAGGAATGAGGAGGATGATGGTGAGGGGGATGAGGGGAAGTGCTGAGGTATTTCTCCTTGCTCTCGCCCTCTTCTCTTGCTTGCTACCTCTACCCTCATTCCTTCTTGCGCGACCTTCCTTATCGCATCACCCTCCCTCAGTCTGCATCCCTCCTTCCTTATACACATGTTCTCGATAATTTGGAGGAGGATCGTGATCCCCCCCTCTCGGGGGTATCCCTCCTCCCTCCCGTGTCTCGCAGTACCGCGTGAATTCGTCCTCGACCAGAACCTCAGTGCGGGCGAAGTGCGTGATGGTTCCGTAGCGCATGTGCAGAGAGAGAGAGAGAGAGAGAGACGGGCCACCACCTCCACCACTTCTCCCCGGCCGCCCTTGTACTCCGTCCGCTTTCCTCTTCCTTCCTTCTTGCTCCTCCTCCTCCTCCTCCTCCTCCTCCTCCTCCTCCCCCTCCGTCTCCCCTGGCGCGCGCCGCAGCAAGTGTCCCTGATACTGACCGATGGGGGCTCGATGAGACGTGGTGTGTGCTCCGACGCCGCGGGCGTGCTGTCCTGCACTGCACCACGTTGGCGTCGTGAGCTGGTGCGTGCGCCCTCCCCCCCTTCGTCCCAATAAGAGAGAGAGAGAGAGAGAAAAGAGAGAGAGAGAGAGAGCGGAGAGAGAAAGAGTAAGAGAGAGAGAGGGAGAGTCAGACAGAGAGAGAGAGAGGGGAGAGAACGAGAGAGAGAGAGAGAAAGAGAGAGAGAGAGAGAACGAGAAAGAGAGAGAGAGAGAGAGAGAGCGAGAGAAAGAGAGAGAGAGAGAGAGCAATAACGAGAAAGAGAGAGAGAGAGAGAACGAGCGGGCGGGAGGGAGGGAGGGAGGGAAGAGATGCGAACGGGCGAGGCCGCTTCTTGTACCGCGCCCGCGACGTCGACAGCCACTTCGAGATCGAGGCGCGGCTGGGCGCACGGGACAATGCAGCAGATGCTCAAATGAGATTCGTCGTCGCCGCCGCCGTCGTCGTCACCGTCGTCGTTATCGTTAGCGTCCTCCTCCCCCTCCCCCTCCTCCTCCTTTTCCTCGCCTCTGGTAAGGGGTGTCTCGAGCGAAAAGGCGGAACAGCGGCGATGGTCTCTCGGAATCCGTCGGAAGCGCGCGTCGAAACCGCGTGTCGAAGATTCGCGTGCTCATCGCCGCCGCCGCCGTCGCCGCTGTCGCCGTCACCGTCGTCGGTATCGTCAACGTCCATCTTCCTTTCCCTCCTCCTGCTCCTTTTCCTCCCCCTCCTCCGGCACTCGAGGATCAGGAGCATCCCATTTACGCAAATTTTCCAACACGCGGTTCCGACGCGCGTCTCCAACGGATCCCGAGAGACCATCGCCATTGTTCTTCTTTTTTCCAGAGACGAGAAAGAGGAGAAGGAGCAGAAGGATGAGGAAGTTGACGACTACGACGACGACAGCGGCGACGGCGGCGGCGGCGACGAGTCTCCTCCGAGGACGTGTTGAGAGCACCGCGCGCTCTCCGTACATTGTCTTTCACACAGGATTCCCAAAGGTGATTTGCTGAAGCATCATGTTAAGAAAGGAATGCTTTCGGTGTGAATGTGTTGCCGCTGCAGCGTGGGCCTCATTTTACGCTTTGCCCCCGTCGTTCAGGATGGCGCCTTCGCCCCAGCGAGCCATTCCTGATCGTTGTCTCCCCGCTTCTTTCCCCTCCTCCACCTCTTCCTGATTCCGCTGCTCTTCCCACTCCTCCCACTCCTGTTCCTACTGTTGTTGCTCCTCCTCGTCCTCCTCCTTCCTGATCCTCCTGCTCTTCCTGCTCATCCTCCTGCTGACCCCCCTGCTCACCATCTCCTCCTCCAATGTTCACAGCTCACCTCTTCTGATTGCGCATCACTCGGTGGGGTCCTTTTGGAGGTTCCAAGGCCACTATGACACCCGTCGGCGGATAGCGAACAAGTGCGTAGGTGGAAGGAAAGGTTGGGAGGGGTAGGATGTCAGGTATGGCGCGAGTGCGCGTAATTTGTCCCTCTCTCCTCTCTGTTCTCTGATCCTTCTTCCCAGTTCTCCTCTCTGTTCTCTGCTGCTTCTTCCCAGTTCTCTGTTCTCTGCCTCATGGTCCAAAGGACATTTGTTCAAGTCAACGTTCGTCAACAAGCGAGTGTCTTTGAAGCTGCGCTTGAAGTTGTTCAACTGCGTCGTGAAGCCAACGGCTGTCTACAGTCTTGCCACAACGCCGCTTACCGCACGATGAAGAGGAAGAATGGCCAGTGCCTGCGCACAAGTCTTACGACGGATCGCTGGGTTCGTTAAGCTTATCGCGAGTCTTGGGAGGAGGCCGGGCATCAATGCAAACGCATATTAGATCGAGAAATGTCAATTTACAAGGTGTCTGATCGGCTCGAGGTGATTGACACAACGCGTTGGAATATTTAGGTGGGTATGCAACGAGAGGAACGGATGGCCGTCTCTAGCCGTACGCTGGCGCCCAGAAGGCTCTCGCAGAGTTGGTCGCCCGAGAAC